TAGTTCAATTGTGAGTGACGATTGTGGGTTCATTTGCAAGCAAATTCCTGTCTGTGATTGTAAAACTGTATTTGCTTCAACTTTCTGTGTGTGTTTGTTGAACTTGTGTGCTGGCTGGAACTGTAAGCTACCTTCTGTTGGAAGTTGTTCAATTTTAAGTAAATTTATGTTATGTAAACTTCTTTCAATGTGCATAACAAGTGTGTACCCATAAAGCAGTTCAACATTAACATTAGCTACTTCATCGCAGCATTCAAACGAATGGTTAAAATAGTATTTTATAGTCACATTAGCTCCTGCTATCGAGAGCAGGTACAAAAAGGGGAGGTAATTTAATGCCTATGACTCCAACTCGGACCTCAGTACTATGATTTGAAACATAAGGAGTCAGGCAAAAAGAGGAGTCCTACACACTGCAAAACTACACATTAAGGTGTCTCCGGTTGAGTCGTCGGAGGCTGTGTACTATTGTAAGGATGCTGATCCGGTTCAGTTGGTTGTGCACCACCAGGTCCTGGAACGCGGGTGCTAAGCTGCAAAACAAGAATGACAACATAATTAGTTCGGAAACAACATAAACTCAACTTAAAAACATATCAAACACGAATGAGTTTGACATACCCTAGCGTACATGTTTCATGTATTCTCATCCACATATGTTCTGATCCCTTGCATAGCCCTTCGCATTTCTCGATCAGTCACACCTATACTACACGAGCCTACATGAGGAGCCTACACATCCATCCATAATTTACATCTCATTACTCCCAATAGCCATTCAACATTTTCATGTAATTGTTCACTGAGGGGAGAAACATGTACATGAATTCCAACATTCATCGGACAAGTCCTTGCATTATGGTGCTCGGATCCACACTTAGAGCAACACCATTTTTTCCTTCTTCTTGGTGCCTGTTATCACCAAACATTGTCAATTTTCACGTTGCAAACACAATGAAAGAGACAGTTTTAGCTCGTTACCTCATGGTCAATTCCAGCTTGGTCATTAACTTGTGGGGTGGCTTGAACTTGTGTGCTGGCTGGAACTTGTTGGGTGGCTTTAACTTGTGTGGTGGCTTGAACTTGAGGTTGCTTCCTTTTGCGAGGTACTGCAGTCCTCGGCGGAAGTGGCGGGTTCTTGCATGTCCTGGCATTGTGTTCTTCACCACCACACTTTCCGCAGTGGAGAGTTAAGTTCTCTCGTGAAGTAACCTCTCTGACTCCGTTTTTTCCAGGTCTTCTCTTAACCTCCCAATGCTCCCTTCTCCTTTTTTTCTTAGGACGACCAGGCATTCGCCTAATCCTAGGAGGATGAACTTTGTTTCCAAGCACGGGAAGCCATGCTTGCCGGCCTTTAGCGGGAGGAATCAGAAACTTGTATGCATCACGAACAAACATGATCTTGAAGAAGTCATGGACGAAACTTGTAGGTTTACCTCTCATATATGTGATGGCAGAATAAGCATGAAAACACGGAATCCCATTGAGAGCCCACCATCCGCAGCTGCAAGTATGCTCCTTCAAGTCCACCATGAATCCTTTCCCATCGTGAGATACCTCAAACATTGTTTCTGAAGAAGGACGGGGGGTGCACATTCTGACATCGTCTTTGGCCTTCTCTAGCTTTCCTCGCACTACTAGAGGGAAGATATCCTTCCACCGACTCATCTTTTTTTTTACCAGCCGAGTCATAACATATACACGAATCCCCTCCAGCATTGCACTAACTCTCAAAGACCTGAACCGCAATATCCAGTTGTTGAATGCTTCACATATGTTGCTATCAACTGAATCGCTTTTGGAGAAAGTCTTCATAAAGACCCGACAAAAGTTTTCTAGTTCCATATTCATGAAATCTCTGTACTTAGAACCTCCTAGCTCATGCATTCGCAGCATCACAGACCTCCAATCAGGCTCATTCAACGAATACACAGCTTCCCAGTAGAGGTCATTTGCTAATGTCGCCTTATGTTTCTCTCGAAAATGGGAGTGAAGATAGCGAGCACATTTCTTGTGCTCTGCCATTGGCAACCATGTTAGGAGCGCCTCCACCAGCCCCTGCATTTTAAATGGAGAAAAGGTTAAGGTTACAAACTCTTAAAATACAACTATTAACCTTAACCCTTTAGACATCGAAAGAAAATACCTTATGTTGGTCTGACACAATTGTAAAGCCCTTGCCATCGATTGTCCCAAGCTACTCTTGCAATGCGCTTACAAACCAAATCCACGAACTTTTGTTCTCTGATTCCACAACCGCCCAAGCTATTGGGAACATGTGGTTATTCCCATCCTTCCCAACGCCGACAGTAGCATGCCTTGCACCTCCCCCTTTAGGAAACCACCACTGATGCAAAAAAAAAGGTCGACATCCCGCTATGAACCCTTTGCACAAAGTCAAAAACCCCACGTAAAGTCTTTTGAAAAAGACCTTGTCTTCACCAGGCTCGATATCCACTTCGAGAAGGAATTTGCCTTGAGGGTCCACTTCGTATAAGATGGCCTATGTAGTCTCTAATCTGGTGAAAGTCTTCTTCAAGGGACCTATACAACAACCGACGCGCTTCCAACCTGGCTCGGTAGCAAGTTGCAGTTGACACAACCAGGTTGAACTTGCGCTTCACCTCGTTTGCTATTAGCCCAACATACCCACGCTTGATTGACCCTAAATGTTTCCAGATATTCTTTTGCCATCCACTTGTAACCAGCTGCACGAATCCGAAGAGACCGGGGGCAGCTATGAGTTGTTCCAACTCCTTTCACCGTAAAACATTCGCGTTTGCGAAACCAACTTCCTTTCTCACTCCACTACTCCTTGCCCATCTAATATCTGCTCCATTATAAATCGCGTTGCTGATTACAGCTTCTTTAAACTGCTCAGGACTAATGAAGTGCATACGAGGCTTGATATTTAATGTTCTATGATCACACTTCGGATCATAAAATAAGCTCTTGTCAAGCACAACAGAAGTAACCTCTTCACCAATATTACCTCTAACATGAGCAGATTCTTTAGATCCCCTGTACTCAGTTTCCTTCGAGCATTCATCATTTGAATCACCTTCAGCATTTGCAGCATTTGCTTGAACTTCAGCTGGACCATCTCCTTTAACATTTGCTTCAACTTCAACTGGTCCATCTCCTTCATTATTTGCTTCAACTTCATCATTATCACCAGCCAAACTCTGACCATCCTTCTGGTCCTCACGCAACACATGATCAACCTCGTCCCCCGATTCCACATACTGTGCTCTAGAATGCTGCCTCCGTTGTCGAACATTCCTCCTAATTTCGTGGTACTCCTCGTCAGATGTTTGGGCATCATCACTCTCCTCTACTCGCAGAAACTCAGGCACAACCGAGTTATTACCATCCTCTTCCGATCCTTGAGGGTCATGACCGTAGTTGTTACCCATATAGCCAAACTCACCAATGTCTTTGGTTGCCTTGAAGTAGACCCTCAAATCTCCTTTCTCGGCATGTGTAAGTAAGGTCATGACTTCCACATCAGAGTGTACTTCATGCAACCCAGTAGCCATGTCCCCCCCCCCCCTCGGGGTCAAGTACCAAACCCTTTCAACCGATAGACAAGCCAAATCTTCAATTAGGGTCTTTGTAATCTCAAAGTAAGAGAGTACATCACGATGAATGTCGATCACGTCTTCCACACCACCAACATACTGCGGAACCGCACCAGACATGTCCATAGCACCCCATGAACCAAAATAAGTGTAATCACGTCATCCATCCTGCATGTACACAATTCAAAAAATACAGACAAAGACAAATCAACAACTATTGTTTAATCTCCACTACACAGTCTTCCACATATGGCCAAATCCAGATTGTTGGATTCTATTGTTTATGAAGAGAGATATTGTTTGCTTACCTAGTGGTCCCGTGCTTTGCTTTCCCACTATGGTCCCGAGTCTGTCGACAGCTTCGCTTTAATCGGCTTTGGAGAAGAGATCGATGGGTGGGGAAGGGCTGTTCTCGAAAGCGACTTTTGGAGAAGAGAGATATATGTGGGGAAGGACTGTTCCTTCTGGAGTGCGGCGCCTCGACAATGCTTTTCAATTCACACCAACCAGCCTATTTGAGCGCGGCGAGAGCATCTGGGTGAGAGGGTTAGGGTTCTGGGTTAGAAGAAGAGAAGGTGAATCGAAGGGGAAGGGAGAAGGAGGAGTCGGGGAAGGAGGATTTCAACAATCAGCGACGACGGCGTCTTTAACCGACCGGCCACCGCTGCATTTGCCGAAGAATCGAAGAGGAAATCATTGGGTTTTCGGGGAAGACGATGGGTCTGAAAGGGAGAGGGAATTATTTCCCAATGAAGGCTATGCGGGAGGATAAGGAAAGTGGGGCTGGGATAATTTGAGGTCCTTTATTTTTTCCGTTCTTTTAATAAATTTTTATGATTTATTACTTTCCTTAATCGAAAGAAAACAAAATTCAGAAATGAAAAATATTTTTTTATGTCCTGATAGCTGAAGTGGCAGGTGAGGTAGATATTGACTAATGGTCAACAAGTTTAATCGTCTAATTTGACGGTCAAACCTGCCTCCAGACCAAATAAGGAAGTTTGCTACATAGTTCACACTAGAATAACTATTTCCAATACCACGAGCCTAAATCAGAAAGTTTGTGTATAGTTCGGGCCAACTAAGGTATTAACCCTATATTATATATCATGAACGATTCTATGAACCAACAATTTTGTATGAATTAATAATTAAACTCTAAACCACTAACCACTAACTTTTCTATTTAGCTAAAAACCGTGGCAATTATCTATTCTGAACTTTATCTATTGGGAAAAAAGAAGGAAAAAAGATAACGGCCATGAAAGAGTAAGAAGTAAGAACTAAGAAGTAAGAAGGCATCAGATTTGGATTCTTCCCAGTCTTCTTGACCGATCCTTTCAACCCCGAAACTGCCACTGTGTAAGGCGTCCTCATGTTCCATGCTTGCACGTTGAGGGAGCTCTTTGTTCTCTTCGCATGGCGTCGAAATCCTTACTAGTGCAGCCATGTGCAATCGTAATCTTCTGTTCGAGTTTCTGCCTCCTTCCTATTATATTCCGTTGGTCAAATTCTGCGTTTTTGTGTAATGATTTTTGTTGGCAGTGAGCCACGAGTGAGCCATTGAACTGATGTTAGGGATTAGTATAAATATTTCCATTCGATTGCATTGCAGTGTTGCTCCGGGAAATGGCTTGGAAGTGGAAGCTTCGCTGAAAGAGCTTATCGAAATGCTTTGAGTGGAAGAATGAGGTACCCTTGTTTCCGCGTTTTCGCGTTCTTTTCCCCTCAATTGAGACAACTGGAAAATCATGAATGTTCCAATTTCCTTGGTTATTTTCTTTGTTAGATTCAGGTTTGCCATTTCATTGTTGAGAGTGGCGAAATTTAGCACTCGATCAAAGCAAAAGAAGGCTGGGAAAGTAGACAGCAACACCATCCAGAGTGTCGCTGACAGTGACAGGTCGAATTTTCTTAAGGTAATGCTTGATTGTCTATTGTACTTTGAGGATGGAATTTTTAGCTCCACAGCAGGTAGTGACTTATATGACACTGGTTCAGTTTTAAGTGTGATTGATGGTGATAATGAAAGCCATAATAAACGAGGTAGAGAAGATGCACAGACCTTTAGCAATCTACTTCTTGTTCGGACGATCTAAAGAAGTGCCGATCTGAGTTGTTCATTTTCCTTACATCAGTGACTGAACTCTGCATTACAGAGTGTCGTGGTATATAATTAAAACCTCGATACAGTTCTACTAGAGGGTCGAATAAAGAGAAGCTACTTATCCTTCTGTTCGTAGTGATTCTGTTACCTTTTATACTGAATTAAGTTACTGATTGCCCCCTCCTTATCCTAGCACTCGGAGTTTTCTCCCCCAAAACAGAACTGTAATGATAATTTTCATTTGCACAACTCGGTAAGTCTTAAATGGCGAAGTCTTATTGTAGGTCCAAGCTTTGATGGACTATGATGGCTATCGTGATCTCATTGGGGAGGAGAATGCTAACAAAATATTTGGGCGGGATCTCAGAAATGCAGTTGATGATTTTGATATTTCGTTTGCGTGTAGAAGATTTCCTTCTCTTGTCATAGGCAGTTCTGCTCCTATTGAGTTATATGGAGAGACCACACACAGTTCGGTAATCGAGAGCCTATTAGCCTCAACAGACCATAAGGGTTTTATTCCAACTGCTATGGATACAAAATGGCTGGATCCTGTTAATCCTTTTGAACAGTTGCCTTCTGTGCAAAACCTTCCTGATTTGCACTCTTCCAATTCAGAAGAACTGCTAGATGAAAATTCAAGTACTACAAGTGAAGGAAATGAGGAATTTGGAGAAGGGTTGAATAGCTTGCCTTCGTTTGTTGAGAAATCAGATTTGGAAAATGAAGAAATGTCAAGTGATGTAGTTATTGGGGGCGTTCTGGCTGCCAAGAAAAGTTCTCAGCTAAAACAAAACGGCTCATCTCTTGATGCATCTCTGAATTGTGTGCTTGGAGTAACTACCAGACAATGCCATCAACTAGAAAACTATGGTTTCTACACGGTCAGTCTAATGGCTACTTTTGAAATTTCCTTTTGCATCTTTTGACTGAGATAGATTTGAAATGGTCATCTTTGCTGCAGCTAAGGAAATTGTTGCACCATTTTCCTCGTACCTATGCTGATTTGCGAAATGCACAAGTTGGGGTGGTGGATGGTCAATACCTAATATCTGTTGGGAAAGTCTTATCTTCCAGGTATATGTTTAATATACATTATAAATGTTCTTTGGTTTGCTATTCAGAATTGAGGTGTTGTCTTATAATTGTTAACTACATATGTTATACCTGATTTTCAAAATGCACAAGTTCTGTAGAACCTTCTTCAGCCTCTAGAGGATTTGGGCTCTTCTTTATTAGTTATCTCATATTTCCTGAAGCACTTTTAAAGGAAACTCTCCTCTTTGATTCTGGTAGTTGAAAGTTTGGAACCTACTAGTTGTTAAATGATCATATTCTTCATTTAGTGAAAGAGTGTAGGAATGGTCTTCTTTTTCAGATTCCAATTATGGTGATTGCTACCAAAGGTGAAGAGGAAAGATCAGTTAACGGAGGGACGTTTTAAGGCATACACAAACATAAAAAAATTAGGGATTTTAAATGCTTTGATACTGACGAATCAAACTGTTGTACGTTGATTTAAGTATAAGACTTGCAAGAACTTACAGGATTGGATGTTTGCAGCTCTAGTCCACCCAGAAAATTCTTGAATGTCTAGTAATTTGGAAGTTTTTCTTATGTAGTTTCTGGTACTTTGTTTGTTAGCTTGGCTTCCTAGATTAAATCATCTGTGTTTTATCTTTTTCATGCTTGTTCTCCTTGGTCTCTGTATCTGTGTGTATTCTTATTTTGATCTCTGTATATCTCGTTTCTCTTTCAGGGGAGTTAGAGCAGGTTCTTCCTTTTCATTTCTAGAGGTGATTGTGGGCTGTGAGATCTCAAATGAGTCTGCGCATACGTTTGGTGATTGTCATGGTTTGGAAAAGAGAACCATTTATTTGCACCTAAAGAAGTTTTTTCGTGGCACTCGTTTCACTTTTCAACCTTTTCTCAGACGTCTTGAAGAAAACCATAAAGTTGGGGAGCTTGTTTGCGTTAGTGGAAAGGTCAGTTCACTTTTTTAGTCATTGGTTGCCCTCCAAACTTGTATAAGGAGATGCTTCCAGAAGGCCTTCATACCTACAAGAGTGTTTATCGTTCTATATATATATATATATATATATATATATATATTTTACAATTCTTAAACTGCTAGGTAACATATGGTTTCCCTAGCTAGCTAGGGGCCATTAGGTCATGTTGTTATTTCACTCCTTCTCAATGTTACTTATTTTTTGATTGTGCAAATTCTTGGACTTGATTGTTGTTTTTCTATAACCCTAGGTTAGGAATATGCGGATCAAGGATCACTATGAAATGAGGGAATACAACATCGATTTGTTGAAAGATGATGAAGGTTCATCTGCACGTGCTGAAGGGAGGCTATATCCTATTTATCCTTCAAAAGGACGCTTGAATCCTGACTTTCTCCGAGACATTATATGGAGGTTATTATTTTATGTTCCTTCTCATTTTTTAGACACATTACTGTGTTGCTATCCTTCTGTTGTCAGTTGGTAGTCATTTTCTCTTCACTTTCGTGGATAGTTTGTGCTTCATTGTCCTTGTTACTTGTGGATGGTGGAACGTGGTATTAGGATTTTGTGTGTTTAATTTGGTTGGTCATGGATCTTCAGATTTTTTTTTAGAACATCGGAGGGAACTAAAAAGTTCTGTTGATAAATTTACATTTATCGTTCGAGACTTGGATCTTTCTAAAGGGCGTTGTTGAAGATTTCCTTTGTTTTTTCAAAATGAATTTATTCGTATTCCTTCAATTCCATCACATTTTGTTTTATGCAATCTAGAGTGCTATTAACCAGACCTATAGTTGTGTTATCCGACCTCCCCATAACACGCAGTCAAAGTTGTACATCCATTTGAGGATTTGATAGTGTGTTATAGGAATGGAATGTTGCAAAGTTTGCGAAGGCCTGTGGCCACCAGCTGATGATAATTTCTTATGTAAAATATTATATCTTGAACTAAAAAATTTAGGGTTAAAATTCAAAATTTACATGTGAAGATCGTCAAACTAATCTGGATATTAATACGTTCATTTTGTTATGGAAGTTGGATAGTCCTTTTCTTCTTGTCATTCTTTTCTCTCTTTTTTTAATAACTTTCTTTTCTCTTCTTGTTTATGTACATTGCTGTTCTTCATCAAACATTGGACTTACCCCCTTCTTTCCGTAACTTCTGGATAAATGATAATGTTTACTTGAAAAGTAAAGAATGTTATTTAATGCTTTGTTTTGAAAAGTGTGATTTACTATCTTGGTGACATGTTACCCAATCATTATAATGCATAACTTGCATGTTTGTTGATTCATGAGTATGGTTGCATCAGTTGCAAGACTTGTTGCTGAAAGTAATGCCCTTTCTCTGTATCCTTTCAGGTCTTAGTTATACATAAGACAACTGTCTATATGAAGATATAAGCTTGCTGACTTGCTTGTGTCTGTCTTCTGGTTAAAAATTTATCATCTATTTACTCAAATGTTCATAAAGGACTCTATTGTTGTCAGTTACTGAGCTTACATGTTATTTTCTCACCCGTATGCATCCACTAAATTTTTATGTGAACTTTCTATGATACTTTCAGATCCGTGCAAGTGTTGCCTTCCAATATTGATCCTATCCCAAGATATATCACTCAGGGCTTTGGCGTTTTGCCCCTTGGCGATGTAAGCAGTGTTAACATTCATTATTTTCCCACGCAGCAATTTGGCATTAATCCGAGACATGATTCACGGCGTTTCTTTGGCTCAATGTTGGTTCTTCATTGTTTATTCTTCCTGTTGAGGTTCTAGCAAGATCGTCTACTTTTTTTCATCTTTTTCACCTGTCAGCTTAATTGTTTCAATTGAATAGGACTATAATAAGTCAGAAATTTGCTTCAGAGAGATTGGGGATAGTAATATTAATTACTCTCTGTAAGAGGTAAAATTGAAGACTAGGAAAAGGTGGCAGAACACTGAAAGTTATTGGAATACTTAAAAGTAATATACTTCCTGGCAAAACATCTTTAGTTACGGTACCATGTAGCTAAGATGGTTAGTTTTGATCTCAGAAGCTGATGGGTCATTATCAGAGTTTCTTGTATAGTTGTTGTAGTGCATCAAGTCAAAAGATTGAATGGTGACGTACGTTGGTTTCCAGTGAATGTTCTATGATTTCATTCGTGGGCTTCATAATGTTGGCATCTTCTTATATTATCATGAATTCTAAGCATATTTTCCATATAGGCATACTTGGGGATTCACCAACCGAAGACTGTTGATGATGCTGACTCTGCTCGTAAAAGGCTGATATTTGACGAGTTCTTTTATCTGCAGGTGATTCTTTGCTGGTAACCTAGAGTTGATCTTTTCAAATTTAATCGTTTGCCTCGAGTCTAAATGGCGTCATAGTCTTTCAGCATTAGTTACCTCTAGCAAGACTGGAGACCTAATTTGATCTATGTTTTATAATGAGTTAAGAGTTAAGGAGGCTGAACTTTTGACCGAAGGGCTTCTGGCCTAGTGGTACCAAGATGGTGTGCAAAGCCGGAGCTATCTGAAGCTATCGGATTTGAGTTCATGCGGACTCCTTGCTTGTTTTCCCCTCCCCTTTAGCGTAGTTGTAGGTTTGGATTCTATTCTATCTGCCAGCAAAAGAGAAAATATTAATGACACTGAACTTTTGGGATGAAAAGTATGAGTTGGCTGAAAATAGAGATGATGCACATAAAAGGTAGAATTGCCATGAGAAGCAGAAATCACCTGCATTAACCTGGAGTCAGACTATAACAGAAGAACATGTGATTTTCCTTGCTTTCTTTTTCCGAGGAAGAGGTCCCATGCTGCAAAGTACACTCTCAAGGATTTGAAAAATACACTTGTAACAGTAGAATGGACTTGTAATTTGTCCAAATGTCTTTATATGGTGAATAGTGTACATTGTAATATTTGGTGGCCCTTCTTTCCGCCTTTCTCCACAATTGTCTTAATTATGAAAATGCTGTTATGGTGTTTTAGAAAATTTATGATTTATCCCTAGTTCATAGGTTCCCTTTTATATTGTTTTTATTGACTTTTCGCCCCTTTTGTTTTGCCAGTTGGGCCGCTTATTCCAAATGCTTGAAGGTCTTGGCACACAGAGAGAAAAAAACGGATTGTTGGACAAGCATATGAAACCAAAGTTAGATACTGTTCCTGTGGAGCAGTGGTCAAATCTCACGAAGGAATTTTTGAAGACCATTCCTTATTCTCTTACTCCAAGTCAGCTAACTGCTGCTTCTGAAATTATTTGGGATCTAAGTAAGCCGGTCCCCATGAATCGACTCTTGCAGGTATGGTTACTTCCTTGATTAAGCGGTTTTATTTACCTGAAAGTCTTAACTCATCATGGGAGTTGGTTTCTCAGATTCCAGTCTACCTTAGACATAGAAGATGGTGTTAAAATCTGTACTTGCAACTATGAACTCCAGCTTGAATTGGAAGGATTAGTAGAATGGTTTTAATTTAATCAGAGTATCTAATACTGCTTTTCTGGTGTTGAGGTATTTCCATACACTGCCTGTTGGGTGAGCTGACACTGAATACTGATTTCTGATAATGTATTGTCTTAAAATTTTCTTAATATACGATCCCCTTGATTCAATTGTCTGATGATTTGGTTGTTTAGTGTTCGAGATATCTGCAATGTTTAGGTTCTTTAACAATCCCTTCATAGAGTCTTTACCAGAGGTTATTTGGCTCACTATGTCCTCTCCAAGCTGTGTTTCATGTCTCAGGTGCTGTAAGCTGTCCTCTCATCTAGTCTAATTAGTAGATTATTCACCTTACTATTTCTGCCACTTAAGTTTACAGTGGCCAGCTTTTGAGGTGATTTGGCATTGAGACTATAACTACATTATGCATTGTCACTAGAACTCTGTCAAGAGCTTTTAGGAGTTCAAACAGGTCTGTTACTCCATTAACTATTCTGAGAGTGAAGTGCATTCATTAGATGTACCGCTAGTCCTCGGCTTTACCTTTGTTTAATACTCGAGAAGTAGTGAGTGAATAACGGTCTGAAGTTTGAGCCGTACGCAATGAATTAGTGAGTGAAAGAGGCTATTGGTTTCAGTAAGGGAGGATGGGCTTCTTTTCTGCAGTTTTTCTTCATAAACTTCAACTACAATTGATGGAGGTTCCCAACAGAGAGAGATTCTTGGAGTGGTTCTCTCTTATTGATGTTGGTGGAATAGGAAAGAAGAAAATTCTAATGACTTTTTTTATGAAAGAAAATTCTAATGCCTTGGAAAGCATTGGCGGATGGGCACTATCTGTAAGTAGAAGATCAAACGTTGCCCAGTGTGTCCTTTTTATTTTCTTTATTTCTGTTTGAAGCTAGAAATGTGACGGCAGGCATACAAGGCTGCCTCAAAGAAAGCGGAAGTGTGAAATCTAGAGACAATGAAGTTGGTCATGGTCTTCCCTTTCATGTACCTATAATGACTCTTGCTTGATAACCTAATGGTTCTGAAGTGATTTGTTGTCTATTTGGAAGCCGAATGATTATGACAAATATCCCTTTTTTCCTGATAAGGGTGATATAGGTTTGTTTTTATAATTATGTGCTACTTAAGAGATTCAAACCTAAGACCTCTAGGTTCCAGACCAGTAGTGATACTACTGTACCAAGCCCTTGTTCTCTACAAGGATTAAATTTTTGGAGCGAGCTCATTTTGAGTCTGTTTCTCCCTGGTCCGTAACTTGATGGTTAACTTAAAAAATATCATGAGATGGTTTTTAGTGGGAGCCTGTGGAATATGTTTAAAACTTAGTAACTTTGGCGGAAAACCAATGTAAGTGTAGGTATGCAGCATCCAAAAAGACTATTTTTCAATAGGATGGTTGGTAGGTTTTTTCGTGTAAAATCTAGATCCAGCTGGACTAGAAAGAAGTGCTAGATTGAATGGGTCATTGGTGCGTGTTACTTTACATAGCAGGACACTTTTGGTTATCTTGTAAGCTCCAATGAACTAATTAGTTTATAAGGTCTGTTGAGGTTGGTGATATAAATATATTGGGCATTGAAGTTGGTAAATCTATAGTTGCATCTGTGAGAGACAGAATGCAGTCTTCTTCTAATTCCATGGTACTTTGCAGGGGGATGTTGGATGTGGGAAAACTGTAGTTGCTTTTTTAGCATGTATGGAGGTCATTGGCCATGGCTATCAGGTTGGTTGCGTTTAGCCGTTTCTTTCTCTACCTTTTCCATCTTACTCTGCTTCTATGTTTACCTTTCACCCATCCCTTGATTTGGATGAACAACTCTATCTAGTTGTTTTATTGATGAGTTTTATTATACAAGTATATGTTGCATTTATTTTGTGCAAGTATATGAATGATAATGATCCCCTCTGTATTATGATCAATTTCTTCCTGGAAGAGTCTTCTTGATTTCTGCTTCTCGTCTAGGCTGCTTTCATGGTTCCTACGGAATTGCTTGCAATTCAACACTATGAGAATCTGCTCCATTTGCTAGAGTCGATGGAGGAGCAGTTCAGACCTTCTGTTGCATTATTAACTGGATCAACTCCACTGAAGCAGTCTCGGATCATTCGCAAGGCATGAATAATTTCCCTTGTCACATTTTATGTGAATCTGAGATTTTTTTCCCTTAGGAATATACTGATTGAATTTTCATTTTTACCCCGACTCTACTTTGACAGGACATCCAAACTGGAGCCATCGCTATGGTTATTGGAACCCACAGCTTAATATCTGAAAACATTGAATTCTTTTCTTTGCGCATTGCTGTGGTTGATGAACAACATCGCTTTGGCGTGATACAGAGAGGAAGATTTAACAGTAAGGTTGTCTTCTTTCCTTGGTGCAGTTAGATTGCTTCATATGCACATACTTGTTTGAGCACAGCATTTTCTCTTTTTTTGCTTCGAGCATGTAACAAAAGGTAGTTCAGTATGTAGAAGCTATGCATCCGTGGTTGTCAGTACAGCCATCATCATCAGCGCAGTCCGCTTTAATTGTTCAAATTTCTCCATTTTCATGATCTTCCCAAGGATTTCATTGGTAGCTATACTCTTGAATTTTTTCTCTCCATCTTTTAATCTGGGATCTATGTTTAGGATTTCCATAGATTTTTCGATGATGCTCATAAGTCTTCTATCTGGCGACTGCTTCAATTATTTGAGGTATTAGGTAAAAAGTTCTTTTGTGAACTTTATCCCCCTTTGGGTGTCCTTTCCCCTTTTTTCCAAGTATACTGGTCAAAAACATAATGGGTGACAGTCGGATGTGATGCCTATATTCAGTAAACTCAGTGAGAAGTTTTTGGTTTGATTATTTGGCAGTGTTTTACTATTTGGCCGTTCTGCTGTATGGTTCCCAGGAACAGGTTTCTCAAATCGTTTTACAACTTAAGGTGATTAAAACAGCTCTTATGACTGCAGTTATATTCTGGCTCTTCAATTTCAAAATTAGCAGAGGCTAATGCAGAGGGGTCGCCCTCAGGCGGCAATAGCTGTATGGCACCACATGTTCTTGCCTTGTCAGCTACTCCTATCCCCAGGACACTTGCACTAGCCCTATATGGAGATATGTCTCTGACTCAAGTACGTACTTCACCTTCCTCAATATCCAAAGAGCTCGGATTTTTTGGTTCTAATTTCTTGGCAGATAAAATTTCCCAATTTTGCTCGACATTGATTGGATGGTAGCCAATAGCCGACACAGGTTTAGGTCACTGTTAAAAGATAAACGGTCACAATGAAAAAGAAGAAAATATAATCGGTAAACATACTGTGCTTACAAAACATATTGCATTTCTTGGTAGGAAATGGCAAAGCTTCTACCATAGGGGTTAAAGATTGTGATTTGAATACATGTTCATATATATGAGGCTCTAGGATATATTTTACCTTTTCTTCTCGGACTTAGTTTTGTGTTCTGATACTTTTGCCTGGTTGTTTTGGATCTCTGTTTCTTTGTAATGTGTTATTATGCTGATCTCCCCCTGCGGAATCCACGGCTTATGTATTACCCGTCTCATATTAATGTTGTTCACTCGGCCAAAATGGAAAATATGTCCACAAAAAACTAGATTCAGAACTGCAAATATATGCAAGACAGAACACATTTTAGTTCTCCAAATTATTCTACTGAATTCCTGAGATGGCCGTACTGGGAATGGTTTTGGCGTGTTAGCTGAGTTAGTCATTGGTTTCCCCAATGACCATGAGTTAACCAACCTGTGATAATTAGTGTAGGACTGTGTTAATCTTAGTTTCTTTTCATTCATTTTCCATCCTGAGATTGCGGGTTAGGATATCATTTGAGTGAGGATCACCTCACACTCAGTGCAAGTTTGTTTCAAAAGATTACATTCCAAGGAAACTACGGGTTTCTATTCATATTATTTATGGCCGTTTGTGATGCAATATGAATATGCCCTTAAATCATAATTGATTCAGCAGTGCATTCGGGAGGCATTAATGGTGAGTTCTTTTGAATTTTCAAGGAGACATATTGACCTGGGTGCTTCAGGGGTCAAAATGTGGCCTTACCCGTTCTAATTTCTTGTAATTGGTCGTGAATTCTTCTTGTGTACTACTGATTTTGTCCCTCCACATGATTGTAATTCTGTGGTTTCGTACTCACAGATAACTGACTTACCTCCTGGTAGACTTCCAGTTGAAACATGTGTCATTGAAGGAAATCATGATGGGTTTGAAGATGTCTACAAGGTACTAAAACATTTTTTCTTCGTGGAGATACTGCTCTGGTTTGTTAAAAAGCGTATTGTCGAGCTTGTCGAATGTTTTAATCAGTGGAAAGTTGAAAGAGATCCATGTTTGCCTAACTTGAAGTTTTTCGTTAGCAACGATAAGTTCAGTGACTCTTGAGTATCTTATTGAAGCACCAAAGACGTGCTTGTTTGATTCCTTTTTAGTTCATTCCTAGAATACCATGTTTGTCAGTTGAAGTGGCCGTCAAATTCATTAGTCGGAAAAGTATATGATGCATCGGACTTTATGGGCACAAGATTCTATACATAAATGGATGAATCGTTGCCTCTTGGGATATGTGTTCCTGTGAGGGAAAGTTGAACCAAATAAATGCAAGGAAAAGGAAGAACATGTATATCTAGTACATTGTTGATTTCTTAAGTTGTTATTTCCGTTACTTACAACATGTTTCGTTGAAACGTCTTGGACCAGATGATGCTGGATGAACTACAATCTGAAGGTAGAGTTTATCTCGTGTATCCGATCATACAACAATCTGAGCAACTGCCACAACTTAGAGCTGCTTCGCCAGATCTCAAGAACATATCTGAAAAGTTCCCCAATTACAGCTGCGGGTTGCTGCATGGCAAAATGAAGGGCGAAGAAAAGGAGCAAGCTTTGAGAAGTTTTAGATGCGGAGAAACTCAAATACTGCTCTCTACCCAAGTAATTGAAGTAGGTGTCGATGTCCCAGATGCATCTATGATGGTTGTCATGAATGCCGAGAGGTTTGGAATAGCTCAATTGCACCAATTGAGAGGCAGAGTTGGGAGGGGGGCTAGGAAATCCAAATGTATACTGGTAGCATCTACGAGCAGCAGCCTGGAGCGTTTGAAGGTCCTGGAGAAGTCGTCGGATGGGTTCCACTTGGCAAATGTAGATCTTCTCATACGTGGACCTGGCGATCTGCTTGGCAAGAAACAGTCGGGACACCTTCCGGAGTTCCCCATCGCCAGGTTGGAAAGAGATGGGAACATTCTGCAAGATGCACATAGCGCTGCACTGGTAACAACTCATTTTCTCTCAATTCCTACTTCCATTACCTGTCATCTTCTGGTTATTGCCGTTGACAGTAGTTCATTCTCGTTTCAACAGAAATTGGACCTTTTTGGCTCTTAAAAAGGCTTGAAAATCTAACAATTTATTATGACTCCTTACCGAACATATAAGTTTTTGAAGTGAGTATTCATCCTATATCCCACAAATTGTTCATATATAAAGGCCACCTTACTCGTAATATTTTAAATACAGCTTTGTTCTTTTGAAATCATTTTCTCTTTTTAAAGTTATTCCTTGTGATGGTCATTTTTCAAAACCACTCATTTTTTATGATTATTCCTATCAATTACTTCATTCCTACAAAGTCATATTCTACCAACTCATTCTGAATTCCAATTAAACACACTTTTTCCTCTTCGACTAAGGCACTTAAAACAGAGTTGCATCGCATGCAAAAGCTGAAACAAACGCGCCCTATTTTGGCTGGTTGTGTGCATATGCAGTAGAAACTTCGTTAGTTGTCGTAAAGAAGAAAAACATGGCAGTAGTAACTCTCATGACAAGTAAAAACAATTCTCTTCACTCTTGTCTGGCATATCGCCTCTGAGATTGAACTGGGGCGAGCTCTACTGTTGAGTGAGTGAGTAGCAAAGTTGGTTTGCTTTACACGTTACATCAAGTTCTGTTTTTCTTGTATTCTCCTGATTAGTAGAAACAGCATCTAAATGATGCAGGTGAGAGGTTTGCTTTAGATAGGTGAATGTTGGCTTCGAACCCAGAGAGTGAGTAGATCACTGGGGCAATCTTCTACGTTGTGCCACTATGGAAACAATTTCTATCCAATAACAGCTTTCTTCCTTTTGGAGCTAACAAAAGGGTGTGGTTGCCTGTTTTATGATGGAAATGCAGAGGATTCTTCGGGACTCGCCTGATCTGGAAAAGTTCCCAGCTCTGAAAGCAGAACTCAGCATGCGACAACCTTTGTGCCTTCTTGGTGACTGAACTGAAGGAGAGAGAGGTTGCTGTTTAACAGGAAGGAAGTTGATGTAGAGAAGTGTTATCAGGTGGTTGGCCCTCCCCAAGATATGAATTGTTTTTCAGACGGAAATCATGTCGATGGGCGAGCTGAGCTGAGCTCTGCCATTCGGCTTTGAGTAGCAGGTTTTTGGGGCGTAAGCATTTGATGTTCTGGCAAGCCAATGGGAGCAACGGAGGACTAGGAATTCTCCTGTTAAAGCTCGTTAACATTTCTGGATGTTCCATTGTCTCACTATACTCCTGTCAGAATACGAGCGTGATGTTCAGGGAAAGAATTAGTGCAAAGGCCTGCTTGGAACCAATTCCGTCGGGAATGAATTTGTATTTCCTATGGGAATCAGAAATGCTGTTGGATTTTATTTCTAGAAATCCTATTTTGTTCTTTATGTTTGGAAGAAAATGGAAATGAATTCATACAACTACAATATCCTTGAAATATTTAGACATATAAACACATGATAAATCAAAACTAAATATGACATATGCTTGGAGATTGCGGGAGGCGTTGGCTAGGTACAAGATTGGTGTCTCGGGTTGAGTTACGGATCTTGGAGACCCACAAATTTTCATAACTAATAGGGTAAATGTCACATTTAGTCATTGGAATTACTAAATCATGTCACATTTAGTCACTCTCTAGTTAGCCTCCGTCCAACTCCGGTCACTCGAATTACTTTTTTTTTTATGAATGTCACTCGAATTACTGAAACATGTCACGTTTAGTCACTCTCCGTAAGCCTCTGCCCAACTCTATTAACGAATGTGGACGGAAACTAACAGGAGGGTGACTAAATGTGACATGTTTCAGTAATTCGAGTGACCAAAATTGATATTAATTTTTTCTAATGACTAAACATGACATGATTTAGTAATCTCAGTGACCAAATATGGCATTTACCCTAACTAATAGGATAGATAGAAAGTAATTTAGAGATTGAGAATATAAATTAGGGATTTGATAAGGAGAATTGGAGATTAGGGATTGAAGAACCGAAGAGAATGGTCGAGGCCTTTAGAGAAAAAGAGGGACAAGATTTTAGACAGAAATAGATGGCTCGCCAACCAATCCACCATTAGTCTCTTTTAGTGAATCAAATATTGCATGAGGTATTTCCCCGAACTCGAATTATTAGATTTTTCTACCACCATTGGTCTCTCTTAGTGAATCAAATATTGCATATCAAAAGGTTTTTGCTATTAGATGATTAGGTGTGTTTCATGCAAATTAGCATCTCTCTCTCCCAGCTAAGTAATTTTTTTTATTATTTTTCCTATTTTTTTAATCGGCTTATATATCCATTGTTTAACTTTTATTTCAAAAAAATTTACACAAATGGAACGACTTCGTTTTGATCTACAAAAGATATAAGTTTTCAATATATTTAAAGAAAAAAATTGTGTACTATCCATTACTACGGGTTTCCACTCTAGTACCACTTTGTATCACCTTCTTTTATATATAGATATATCAAACATTATCACCATAGTAAAGACGTGTAACTAAGGGTCATGCACCCTAACCTATAGGGTATTCGGCAAGGATTTGACTTAGCTTCGAGACTAGGATACAACTACCTTCTTGTTGAGTTGGAATACAAATTAACAATTGATTTTGTAGGAAATTCATGTCGTTTGGATCCTAATCACTCGAGTCTCGATCTTTTTACAACGATTTTGTAGGAAATTGGCGTATGGGTGGTTGGTTTACCTAGCCCATACATACCAGGAAGAGAATAGAGCGAATGACTGACCTTTTAAGCAGTGGCGGATATATGGACATTTAGGGGTGTCCCGGGACACCCCTAAAATTTGGAAGAACGATTATCCAACCCACGGCAATAGTTTCGTATGGAGAAAAAATTATAATTGGTAATCCGGGACACCCTTAAATTTGAAAAAACTGATTATACTACTCTCGATAGTAGTTTGTGTAAGATTAAAAAATTATAAATGGTAGTTTGTGTTATTCAAACTTAGGACACTATTATTATTAAACATATTCTTTAGGTTGCAACTCATTTCTTGTTCTATTTAAACACTAAGAAATAGTAAAAACATTATTGCTTATCCCCCAACTATTTTCAAGACATAACAACTAAACTAATTGTGGGTTATCTTTAATTTGAATTGATTTTATAGTTACACAGCAAGAGTTAAAAGAGTCTTTCAACTTTGAGATACATAAATAACAAGGTTAGAATTCGAATATGAGATCAGTTTGTATATTATTGTCTAGTATGATATATAGATTTGTTGAGCAGTGAAGACGTCGAGTATATTTTATATTCTTTTTCAGAATATGAAAACACGTCGTGGCCTTTTGTTAAAATTTGTACTAGTCGTGTATTTTCTTATTTATGAATTATTAATTTTATTTTTTATTTTTTTAAAGAGGACACCACTATAAAAAATTCTGGATCCACCACTGCTTTTATGTACCACCTTTGGTTTACAAGAACCAGAAAGCCCTTCACTCAACCACCAAACCATCCCCACCGAAGATAACTAATAACATTGATTGTACTTATCTTTCAAACCTTATAATTTGTCATAACTGTGTTTGTATCTTATTTCACGAAAGAGTATCCAGAAATATATCAAAAGTACAAAAAACACTTCTTAGGTCTATAAATCACATTCTGAACAAACAGTTATCATTTTCATGATAAAACCTCTAAAAATTGCACCAACTGGAGTATAATTTTGCTAAGAAAGGAATCTGAAAAATAACAATCAAATTACCTCATACTCTAACGTTATTGTCCCCAAGCAAAGACTAACCATAATTGTACAACTCATTAAACACTAGAGGTGACACTCGACATGGAGTTTAGACAATGGATCATAAGCAACCTACAAATCATCAATTGTAGATGAGAACTTGATCACGTTAATAAGCTACAAATCTTATGAGGACAATCAGACACTCTTATATCAATCACAAACATCCAACTAGGCACGAGAGTCTAAAAATATGTAGGGTGAATCGTTTGGAAAACATTTTTTTTTTCTTTTAGAACTTCTCTACCTTTTTTCACAACTAGAGTTTCTCTCTCTATCTTTTCTTTCTTACCGAGTTATCATATTTAGTACAACAGGTTTTTGTTTGTTTCTGTCAACGCATGACCTAGCAAGATCAATTTATGTCAACTTTGATTTTGCATAACTGTTTATCTCAAATCCTTCTCCTCAATCCGTTTGGTGCTTTCAAAATGGGCACAATCTTGTATTGACACTTCTTTCATTGGGGATTGTATTAGAGTAAGCAATATCAAGCAGTCGTGAACTAACTCTCGATTGAACTTTGCACCCCTTTACAATGATTATAATGTCACACATTTTGGGCATACCCCACATTTTTTATAGGATACAATTCTACCCTACCAAAATCCCTTAAAGGAGGAGACTCAGAGGTTCTAGACTATATAACGATCTATTTTAGCATATATGTGATGAGTTTATTCCTTTATCTTTATGCTTGTTCATTCATTTGGTCTATTGTTGATTTGATTGTGTGCTTAATATAATCACTTATTTCAAAGGTGATATCCTCAAATCCGACTTCATGGGTAGATGTTTAACTCGAACCTAACTACACTATTCCCAATCGATGGTCAAGTATAACCAACGACCGGGTGTAGAATAGACCAAGAGTTTAATTATCAACCCGGAGCAATCTATTGTCTCCTACTTCAATCGTTTGTATATCATCTAGCAAACGGTTTGTGATGAAATCTAAGAAACTACAATTTTAAACAAGTAACAAAGTAAATTGTGGTGATTTCGATGTGAGAAGACTTCACCATGATATTGTTCCCCCTAGTCTCGTGCTAAGATGAAATCAATGCAACTCAAGTGTGAAGAGTTTGATTAAATACCATGAGGAAGATACAATTAGTTGGGAAACCTAACTCTCTTAATCAGTAAACTAAGGGGTGTCATAGAAAAGCTAGAAAATCTAACTTTATTAGTTAACCAACTAAGGATTGCAAAAGGCAATCCCTAGGAGATCAATTCGGAACGGTGAAAGTTAACCAATAACGATATAATCATGGTGAAAATTCAATGTTTGAAGTTTATTCTTAATTTCCCTAGAGGGGTTACCCAAATAGCCAAGGTGTGGGCTATGAGTAGGGGTGGGCATTGGTCCGGGCCGGATTGGAACGAACTCAAGAGAACCGCGGTCCAATAGTGAAAGATATTTTAGGACCAAGGACCGGACCAATAGTGCATTCGGTCTGCTTTGGTCCTCTTTGGTCCGGTCCAAATATCAAGTCGATCCATTATTCTTTAGTATTTATAAAATTCATTGGACCAATGATCGGACGGTATTATATTCGATTCAGTGTGATTCGGTCCAAACATCGATTCTGTCCGGTGTGGTCCGGTATGGACCAACCCATTGCCCACCCCTAGCTATGATGAGATTTTCTCCTCCTAGGTCAAATCAACCCAACAATGAGATATGACAAACAATCACTCAAGAATCATGAAAATACCTCAAACATTATATTAATCACATAATCATCATACAAGAGTTGAACTTTTACACAATAACACATCCTAGACTAAGGTTTCAAATATCCAAGTGGAAAAAGGAGACTACTCCATATCTAGGAAGGGAAATACAACAAGGATGGAAGAAGAAGCCATGGTGAGATGACTATCCTTCCTTCTTGTTCTTGAATCACCCTTTGGAGAAGAATCCGTCAACCCTCTAGCCTTGGGTAAGCCAAAACGTTCTTCTTCCTCTCTTTTGTTCGTAACTTTCTCTCTCTAAATGAGGAAGAAGAACTCAATATCACTCTAAAACTCCCTCTTCAGATTTCAGTTCCCTCTTCTTTATATATGCAAGTCGAGAAGTTTTCACGGTCAATTATCACACACGTGAAGTTGAAGGCATGCGCCGTTTCACTAATAGACTTCGCCGGTGGTGGAAATTGTCAGGGTTTGGTGATAGTGAA